AACTAAACTTAGGATGGCTGAAAAAATTATGAAGTTTTTTTTCTTCTAACTTAACGGTTATTGTTGTGTTAAAGGAATGTTCAACATGAAATAACCACATTGACTAAATAATAATCGATTCAAGATTGTTGAAAACTTCTGCTTTGTTTTAATTTCAAAACATTTGTTAAAGATTTATTCTACATTTTGTATACTTACTAGCATTTTTAATTTGAGATTTATTGTAGTGTTTACAAAAGGAGCATGCACTTAGAAATAATAACTGGATCGGGGTGCTAATTTAGCGGTTTTAACTAAGAACTAAGCTTATCTCAACACACCTTTATTTGCTTTTCATATATGACGAAGACAATTTCCAATATTTTAATCAGGAAAGCCTTTTTATTAAAAACAGACCAAAGCTACCTTAGTAAACTAATATTTATTCTCAAACATGTTTCCTGCCTTTAGCAGAGTTAAACCTTTGGAGTAATTTAAATTATTTATTAAAAATTACATCAACAAAAGCAAACAAAGGCAAACAACAAAATATTTTTTACACAAAAATATGTTGTACTGGGATATATATCTGATATATGTATTAGATTTATTTAAGTTTGTTTATACTGTATTACAATAGTTTGTTTTACTTAAGCTTTTCAGGGACTTATGACTCCTCAAGCCACTAGTTCATGTTTATAAGCCAATTGTCCGTCCCAAATTGGGACAAACTCTCGGCTTCTCAAAAATTATTAACTTCTCTCGCATAACAATCCCAACACAATAACACAATAACACAATATTACATCTAAACCTTCCAACATCAAGTGAGGTAGTCTTGTTTTCAATCACTAGAATTCACTGCGAGAGTCAACTGATACAAATGTGAGTTTGTTAAATACCACGGCTCTTATTTGGGAAAATGTGTAACATTATCAATCTAAAGCTTATTATCATCGTCCTAGCTGAAGCTAATTTTGTTTTGGTTTTCTATACACTTTAAATTAATAGTATATAAATAAACTACAGTGGAAAACTAGCAGGAACAACGCAAGCTGCTAGCGCTACATTTGTTAGCGGCGAATGCACAAACTACTAGGCCAGTTGAATATCATCGCCGCAGAAGCGCTAGCTGTTTCACTCTGCTCCTGAGTTATGATAAAAATACTACGATATTATGATTAAATGTAAAATGTATCCAATGACATTATTAAAATAATAAACTGGTAGCCAGTGTCAATTCGCAACTTCTAGTTCCGTGATATAAGTATATAAATTAATTTACAATTTTTTATTACAGATCCTACTAAAAAACAAAACTTAACGTAAGTAGTTTTCTTTTTTTTATTAAAAATAACATTACAATATTTTACTTTAATTCACTTAAACATCACCAATTATAACGAAACCCCAATTTTGTATGGACGTAAACAAATTGAATCATAGTCATCTGTTCGATCGATGTAAACGTGAAAAGGTGCAGACGATTGAAAACCGTATTCAGCACAAACTGAGTTTTTAAAAACGTATAGGACGAAGGGCTTTCACGGGATATCATCCAAACCTGCAAAAGTGCAGGTTATTATGTTTTGTTTAATCCTAAGTGAAAGATATGTGTCTTTGTGTATTGTTGCATACCTTTTCGTCCTAATATGTGTAGTTTTTTTAGAAAAATAAGATTTAAGTTTGGATAAAGTATGATTTGCCTTGACACAAATGGATGAAGTTAGTTTTGCTCTGACGCCTAAGGAAAAGGTTTTGGAAAGACAGTATACACTAGGATTGCATAGCACTAATCAGTTTGGTTATTGGTTTTAAACAATAAAACAAAATGGGTGAATAAAAAGTCAAGACCCCCCCCCCCCATTTAATATTTTTCCAAGTATATATACAGAGATATCCTTTCGGTGGTCGTGCAATCTTAGCAGGAAGTTTCATTTTATGATTTTGAAATTTTTGAGTGTCCCCCCAAAAGAGGGGATTTGGGGGGCAACTCAAATATTTTAAATGTAAACCCCCTTCAAGTGACACCTCATTTTGAAGGGTTTACAAAATCTTAAAGAATGGTGAAAACTGGAGCTCGCTATCTCTTTTCTATCCAAAATGATAGCCCATCAAATATTGTAGAAAATCAATGGTAAAATTAGTTCGTAATGGTAATATTGGTTACCATTTTGGATAGAGAAGAGATAGGGACCTCTGGTTTTCACCATTCTTTAAGTTTTTGAAAACACTTCAAAACGAAGTGTCACTAAATGGGGATTTACATTTAAACGTTTTGAGTGCCCCCCCCCAAAAGGGGGATTTGGGGGGCAACTCAAATATTTTAAATGTAAACTCCCTGCAAGTGACACCTCATTTTGAAGGGTTTACAAAACCTTAAAGAATGGTGAAAACTAGAGGTCCCTATCTCTTCTCTATCCAAAATGGTAACCAATATTACCATTACGAACTAATTTTACCATTGATTTTCTACAATATTTGATGGGCTATCATTTTGGATAGAAAAGAGATAGCGAGCTCCAGTTTTCACCATTCTTTAAGATTTTGTAAACCCTTCAAAATGAGGTGTCACTTGAAGGGGGTTTACATTTAAAATATTTGAGTTGCCCCCCAAATCCCCTCTTTTGGGGGGACACTCAAAAATTTCAAAATCATAACATGAAACTTCCTGCTAAGATTGCACCACCACCAAAAGGATATCTCTGTATATCTACTTGGAAAAATATTAGATGGGGGGTCTTGACTTTTTATTCACCCTGTATTAAGATAATAGACCTAATGCTATGCCTTGTATTTACCTTAATATGTTATAGTATATTTTTCTATAGTGAGGTGGTACTTACTGGAAAAGTTAAAAATCATAAAAATACAGTTTCATGATTTTTTTTATATTTTACAGTAAAAGAATTACCATACAGAAGTACAGGCCATTAGACGTTCTCTGGACTAATGTTAAAATGAAAAGTGAGAAAATTACTTATGTTAACATCTTTCAAATTAATTGATTGGGACTTTAAGAGCATGAGTACCCTTCTAAACTACAAAACTGTCATCTTGAGCATTATTGCACTGAAAGAATTAAGATCTCAGCCACTAGTCAGACGACAGAGTCAAAATGACAACAAAGTCACATGGCCGAATTCAGGCTTACACTCAGTACTCGCAACGAGACAGGACCAGCGGAACAGGACCAAGGCCCCAGGACCAAGTTCTGGTCTGTTGTAAGTTGAAGCGACTGTTCTTATTGTTTCTCCTGGCAGTTTTATGGCCTAGCATTCCGTCAGATGGTATTTACTCATGGGGGGTATAGAAGAGCCTTCGATGATGTCAGCTGTCAGATCTCCTCTTGAGGGAACACAATACCGCGGGACTCCCTATTTTGTTGACCCGGGTCAACAATATTAGTTAAATAGCAAAATAGGTAAATATTTTTAAATCGTTACCAAATTTTACATACGTGTAGAATACATGTTGACATACATTCCCTGTTTCAAGTAAATATCTACATTCTAAGTTAAGTGGTTATTTTGCTACATGTATTGAATTTGCTGACCCTGGTCAACAAAATAGTCAGTCCCCAATACCGCAACGATACGGAATTCAGTCAACAGCCTCGGTGGTGTAATGGATTGCGTGTCGGGCTGATGATAATCCGAAGGTGCCCGGTCCGAATCCCGCTGGCAACTAATTTTTTTGCCAACAATTGTTTTTCATATCAGCAAGTTTGGTTGGTTTGGTTAGGTTATGACAGTTTAATTTTATAATTAAAAAAATTTAAAAATTGAATTTTAGGCATTTATCATTTTATTTTATGAACAAAACTATTTTTTAGATTAGTAAACCTTTATTCGATTTTTTTCATTCAGCACGTTTGGTTAGGTTATGACAGCTTAATTTAATAATTGACAAATTATAGGATTAATTTTATAACTAACTAGGCCTAGGCCTAATAATAGTCAAGTAAAAATTACGCACTGTGCTCTCTACTACTTTATCTATGCTACAACGCTGTTTACGGAGGAATTTTGAACTGAACTATGATGTCACCGTCACCGTTGCCTCATTTATATCTTCCGTAAGTCAGACCCCTCGTCAGTCGTCAGATGCTCGACAGTTCGACAGCCAGACCCCAGTAGAGGTGGGGATAACTGTCAGAAATGCCCAGCTGTTATTTGCCCAGCAGCTGCGTTACGATAACTGTTTAAAATAACGGTTATCAAATAACTCTCAGCCGAGCTGAGCAGCACTGGCAACTGGCAAGAAACTCAGGCTGCCCGATAACCGTCGCCGCTAGGCAGTTATTGGATAACTCTAGTTGTCAATCAGCCGTATGGCTATCTACTGCGCCACAGTTGTTACGCGGCAGTTTGAGAGACGGTTACCGTCGCTGCCTCGCAGTTATTTTAATAACTCCAGTTGTCGATCAGCCGTATGGCTGCCTGGGCCTACTGGATAACCGTCGCTGCCTCGCAGTTATTTTAATAACTCCAGTTGTCGATCAGCCGTATGGCTGCCTGTGCCTATTGGATAACCGTCGCTACCACACCACGCAGTTATTTAATAACTCTAGTTGTTAGGCAGCCGTGTGTGTTTGCTGCACTACAGCAACAGTCTTGAGTGGCAGTAACCATAACAATTACTTACTTTTATGAGATTATTAAACAAATCCGATATTATATACAGCCAAGTGGTTATCTTATTTGCTACAAAATGTTAGTTAATGTCAAAAATACACAAATAAAAATATTTTAAAACGATTGGCAAACGCTCCGTTACTAAAAATAACAATTGCACAGCAGAGCAGACGGTTATTTTGACGGTTATCGATAACTCCTAGTTTTCGATAACAGCTGTTGCCGATAACAGTTATCGTCCAATAACCGTTATTAAATAACGGCTGCGTTATTTGCTCCCCACCTCTAGACCCCAGCCAGAGCCAACTTCAGCCTGGTTGTGTTGATGTTGATGTTTTGTTTTAATTGTGTTTGTGTTCTTCGTTCTGTGTTGGTTTGGTATGTATTGACCATCGATGTATATAACCTAACGGCTTGACAGGTTATAAATTTACAAATTCAAATCTAACTAAACTAAGCTAAACCAACTTTGAAAGTTGAAATAGGCCTATAATTCTGTTAAACCTAACCTATGACATTCTAGGAAGAGAACTGTGTTTTTTAGGGCTGGCTACATACATCTTAATAGGAATGATCCATCACAAGTTGTTGGTTTCTTGGTTAGTAATAAACTAAGTTTAGGCCTATTTGTTTTTTAATAATAAGTTAATTGCAGCATAACTACCTAGTTGGTGAGAGGTGTTAGATTAAAAAATATCAATATAATATACGGAATAATTACCAACTTATTTTTATTACTAGAGGTCCTTGGAAAAAGCCTTCTGAACATGGCACGATAAGTGATAGACGGTGAGCTAATAGAGAAAATAATTATAATATTCAACGACTTAGGCCCTACAGCACAACTACCTAGGTGGTGAGATGGGTTACATTAACACGTTTGCTGCGGCCCATCAAATGGCAGGCGTAGCTCCAGTGCAGCGCAGCCCGCAGCGTGAAACAAACCCGATTGCCGGGTGATTGGCTTTCATATTTTGGTATGACGAATATCAAATAACCTGTGGTGATGTCCTGTTTCATGACAATAGTCCACGTAGTTTGCTAAATACCCACAGTAGATGCCATTATTTTACAATAAAACACACTAAGTTAATATAGCACAAAATTACAGTTACAAATGTAATGAGTGAGTCAAAATCCACCAGGTATAGTTTCGGAACGAGTAACGATAATTACAAACGGATTGCACCACTAAACTGCCACTGTCATACACGAAGCACAGACAAAAATACTCCGACCTGCACCGGAGTGCGGCTGCGGTCGAGCTAATAGAAAAAATAATTCCAATATTGAACAGCTTACACCGCAACTACCTAGGTGGTGAGAAGTATTACATTAAACGATATTAATTACCGTAATTTTGATTAAATACACTGAACGATATCCCTGACAACATACAGTAGTGCAGTATGTAGGCCTAACAAAATATAGATACTCCAACTAAACCGTGGTGAACAGGTTATTTCTTTGAGTCTGCAAGAGTCGTGTAGACATTTGGCCATTTAAGTATGGAACAACTATACGATAATAAACACAAACCTGGTTGTTCATACATAAATGGCCCCTTGGGTGAGAGTCACTAGGTATTTGAATCATATAATCTATTATAATGATCACACAAGGGTAAGCCTATTCATATTTTTTTTTATTTTTTTTTATTTTATACTTAAAAGCTATTGTTTGCTCAATCAAACTGCACACAGGCTGCTGTTAGCCCATACCGGGAAGGTTTGCCTCCGTCGTTGATCTTATAAAAGCTAACTGCATACAATGCATACGCCATGCGTGGAACAGCCCTACAGAGCAGCGCCTAGCCCTGCCTACAGTGTGTGGCCTTACAAACATGTAATAAAATATTAATTTAATGCTTCTGAATAAGGCAGTGCAATTGGTAGATAATCATGCGGAAAAGTGTTAGCCTACAATAAGATTCGTATAGGCATACTTCGGGTTTTCAGTAGCTTTCTAAATTAATTAATTAATTAATGAAGTAACTTACTCCCCAGGTACATGATACTGATACTGTCGTGTCCGTTAAAGTGTCCTCTATCTGTACACAAACACCCAACCTAAGTTGGAATACCCTACAGAGGGTAGCAGTAAAAAAATATCTTCATATTTTTCATCATATTATTATTATTATTCATATTTTATTCTTGTCTGCATATTTTTTTACTGCTACCCTCTGTAATGTATTCCAACTTAGGTTGGGTGTTTGTGTATTGTTAGTTGTAATGTGTTAGCCTAGTTAAGTTTTTTTCACCTGAGGACGGGATCAGATTCCAGATCCCGAAACGTTGTGTATTGTTTTTTACATTTGTGATGAAAAATGTCCGCAATAAACCTTTGGACAAGGTTTTGCATTTATTTTGCTTGAAATAATTCATGGATCATACAAATATTTTCCTTAGTGCTAAACTAATTGTCTTAAGCCCCCCCCCCCCCCCAAACAAAAACGCAAGGTGGACATATAAGTTATATAGCGTCTGCCGTCTGTAGCGATAACTTAATCACAAATATGAACACTGCTGATAAGTTAGGCCTAATCTTGAGTATTCTTGTAGGAGGCAGATGGATGTATCCGTCAACTTTAGTCCTTCACTCGTTATATTTTTTATCCATCAAAATAGGCCCTATATCTACGGCTCTGAAGTAAATCTAAGCCATTCAGTTCCAAATCCTAATCCCTGTTCCCCACTCATGTCCTCATCCACATTCCCCCAAAGGCTTCCACTTATATAAAAATATTTCCTCAGGTTCATCAATCCATCACATTCTATACTATTAACTTATTTTCATTGCCAAGTATGAAATCCACCTCAGACGTATACTTTTATTTGACTTAGCATTTCAATAAACATCTTCAAATTTTGGATCGTTTGTAATGGTCATTTAGCTCAATGACTAAAAAATAAGACACAAATGTTAACAACACTCACAAACAACCTTGAGCAAACTGACTGTTTTGCAATATTCACACACTTTATGGCACAAAATAAAAGCTGAAACATTTGTGGCAATTACTAGGTGGCGTTCGCAGAGGCATCCACAAAATTGAGCGGAGTCATCAAGGGTTTATATTATATTGTTTTGGTCATACTGCAGTAACACCAGTCGTTTTTAATGCATGCGTTGCGTGTTTAAAGTAGCATTTTTACTCTTTAGGAAGTAAAAATAGTTTTTATCCTCTATGGAGTAAAAATCAGCTGTTGTCAACTCAGTTGTAAATTACTATTATAAACGATTGCATGTATCGAAATATGTATCGATTCGTGCTTCGTAATTATTTTAACCTACAGTCTACAGTCTCTTCCCATAGCATTTTAGGATTGCAGATACATTAATGTAATTGCCAAAGACAGTTCCCACACTCTGCAATGCAAGCCTTACTACTTCCTTCACCATTTCCTACGTCATAGACTTGTTTCCTTCCCTTCTCATAGCATTTTTGGATTAAAGATACATCAATCTAACTGCCATAGACGGTTTTCACACTATGCCATACTTTACTACTTTCTAAGCCATTTCCTACATCGTGGACCTGTTTTCATCACTTTCCATAGCAATTTTGTATTTTAGATACATTAATATAATTGCCACAAACATTCCCCACACTCCGCACTGCTAGCCTTTACTACTTCTTTTTTTTACCATTTTCTATGTCGTGGGGATGCTTCCATCCCTTCTCATAGCATTTCAGCATTGCAGATACAGTACATTAATCTAACCGCTACAAACGGTTTCCAGTTCTCACACTCCACACAGAACTTACAACTTCCTTCACCTCTACTTACGTCGCGACATGTTTCCCTCTCTTCCCATAGAATTTTAAGATTGTAGATACCTTAATCTAATCGTCATAAACAGATCCCACTCTCCGAACAGCTCACCTTGACTACTTCCTTCACCACTTCATACGTCTCGGACCTTTTCTCTCCCTTCCCATAACATTTTAGGATTGCAGATCCCATCATCTAATCGTCATAAACAGTTCCCACACTCCAGACTGCTCGTATTTACTACTTCCTTTACCACTTCCTACGTCACGGACCTGTTTACCTCCCTTCCCATAGCATTTTATAATTGCAGATACCTTAATCTAATCGTCATAAACAGTTCCCACAATCCGGACAGCTCGCCTTGACTACTTCCTTCATCACTTCCTCCGTCGCGGACCCGTTTTCTTCCGTTCCCATAGCATTTTATGATTGCAGATACCTTAATTTAATCGTCATAAACAGTTCCTACACTCCGGACTGCTCGCATTTACTACTTCCTTCACCACTTCCTACGTCACGGACCTGTTTACCTCCCTTCCCATAGCATTTTATGATTGCTGATACATTAATCTAATCGTCATAAACAGTTTCCACACTCCGGACAGCTTGCCTTGACTAGACTACTTCCTTCGCCACTTCCTACGCCACGGACCTGTTTCCCTCCCTTTCCATAGCATTTTATGATTGCAGATACCTTAATCTAATCGTCAAAAACAGTTCCCACACTCCGGACAGCTCGCCTTGACTACTTCCTTCATCATTCCTACGTCGCGGACCCGTTTTCCTCCCTTTCCGTAGCATTTTATGTTTGTTGATATCTTAATCTAATCGTCATGAACAGTTCCCACACTCCGGACTGCTCACCTTTACTACTTCCTTCACCACTTCCTACGTTGCGGACCTGTTTCCCTCCCTTCCCATAGCATCATAGGATTGCAAATACCTTAATCTAATGGTCATAAACAGTTCCCACACTCCAGACTGTTCGCCTTTACTACTTTCTTCACCACTTCCTACGTCATGGACCTGTTTACCTCCCTTCCCATAGCATTTTAGGATTGCAGATACCTTGATCTAATCGCCATAAACAGTTCCCACACTCCGGACAGCTTGCCTTGACTACTTCCTTCACCACTTCCTACGTCGTGGACCTGTTTTCCTCCCTTCCCACATCATTTTATGATTGAAGATACCTTAATCTAATTGTCATAAACAGTTCCCACACTCCGGACTGCTCACCTTTACTACTTCCTTCACCACTTCCTACGTTGCGGACCTGTTTCCCTCCCTTCCCATAGCATCATAGGATTGCAAATACCTTAATCTAATGGTCATAAACAGTTCCTACACTCCGGACTGCTCGCATTTAATACTTCTTTCACCACTTCCTACGTCACGGAACTGTTTACCTCCCTTCCCATAGCATTTTATGATTGCAGATACCTTAATCTAATCGTCATAAACTGTTCCCACACTCCGGACTGCTCGTCTTTACTACTTCCTTCACCACTTCCTACGTCACGGACCTTTTTTCCTCCCTTCCCATAGCATCATAGGATTGCAAATGCCTTAATATAATGGTCATAAGCAGATCCCACACTCCGGACAGCTCGCCTTGACTATTTCCTTCATCACTTCCTACGTCGCGGACCCGTTTTCCACCGATCCCTTGTAGTTTTTGGAATGCAGATACCTAAATCTAATCGTCATAAACAGTTTCCACACTCCAGACTGCTCACCTTTAGTACTTCCTTTAGCACTTCCTACGTCACGGACCTCAAGCTAGTGTCGTCATTTGATTATATTTATGATTCATACCGTTTCTGTTCTAATATCTGTGGAATCACAGCTAGCAATCATCAGCTAATATCTGTGGAATAGCTGTGGATCTATCAGCTATTTCTTTATCTACTGCATTCAAAAGTCAACAGCTGATCATATGTCTTTGTTCATGTGTCAAATACTGCTTCCATAAGGATTACATTGAAACTTTGAGACCCAGTGGGGCGGATTCCTGAGAGTTATTTTTAACGCCATATAGATGTTGGCACTCACCGATATGGTCTATATCACCATCCAAAATTTGAAAACGATTGATTCAGCCGTCTAGGAGGAGTTTGCGTATTACGAAATGCATAAAAGTCGACGTATAAGAGCTTCGCTCGCTTCGCTCGCTCCGCTCAATTATTGCCAACCACAAAAACAAAATAGGCAAACCCATTTATAATGCAGTGTAGGCCTAATGTTTATTTTCGAATTATAAACTATTTATATCAATTTGTTTATTGGACGGCTATATCCGTCTTTAGCCCAGAAAAGAAATTTCTCTGGAAGGATATATATTTATTTCCCACCCGGAAGGTTGGGGATTGACAGATATATCGTCCATCCACAGCCTAGGAAGGGTTAAATTAAAAAGAACTAAGAAATAATTTAAGTTTAAGTAAATTAAAACTTAAACTTTGTAGATAGCATATACCTATGTTGATTTGTACAAGAGCAGCATTATATGATTCCTTTTTGCTTTTTGCTAACCTTTTAATATTTCTTTTGGTTGCAGTTGGATCATGCAAACTTGCCATGGCATGTGATTGTGAAAATGAGTATAATCGTCAGCAAAGACAATATTGGTTGGGTTGTAGACCATGAAGAGTTCATAAAGAAAGTTTACTGCTCTGTAATTTATGAACATTCTTCATCCTGCCACAGGGCATTGTCTTTCAACAAACACTTATTTGAAATACTGACTCCATTTCTAAATAACTTGGAAGCAAAAAATGCTTCTGATAAAAAGTCTAGGAGAAAAAGGAAATATATTGCATTAGAATCTCAAATTAACTCGAAAGAGGTAAGTTTACAGTAGAACCTCTTTAATCCGAACGTCCACTAATCCGAACCCCTCATTGCTGTAGGCCTACTCTATACACCGTACAGCAGTTCTTTATTGTATACTGTATTTAATTTACAGTAGGTAATGTTTATTCACCATGTTTACAACTGTATTAAATAAACGCTGTATTTTACTTTATAAAACATTTTTTCACTTTTCCCAAAATAATGTTGATTAATTTTAGCCATATTTTAGCTATTGTTATGTGAAAACAACAATATGCTCTGTAATCCTAACTATTCAATAGTCCGTATTACCCCTGGTCCCAATTAGTTCGGATTAACGAGGTTCTACTGTACTTTTAAACTAATATTGATAACGTTTCCAAGTTTTAATTTTGCTACCCATCACAATCATATGTGTCGTTCCAAATAGGGGGCGTGGTTGGTAGGCCCCATACAGTTTTTATTTGATTAATAATACCAAAGTAGGCCGATCAAATTGTAAACACAATTTTACTTTTTTTAGACTAGTTGATTTTAAAATAGGACTAACATTTATGAAGGATCCTATTGATGATGTTCCTAATGTTCTAGAAACACAATAAACAACACACTTAGCCTATATCCAACCATAGACAAAAAGAATTAAATATAGACTGTCAACCATGCTGCGGTTACCATAGGTTCCGGCACACACCGCTGTAGTTTATGTAGCGTGTACGCCTTAACTACATGGCGCTCCAAGCGGTGTGCGCCAGAACCTATGGTAACCGCAGCACAGCTGACAGTCTATATTTAATTCTTTTTGTCTATGATCTAACTTAGGTGATATATTATTCTTTTTTATCAATCTATTTCCATTAGGGAAAGTTAAGAATAATAAAACATAAATAAGCCCTATCTGTTATAGGTTTTTAAATGTAATTATTGTCAGATAAAAAAAAAACATGTAATAATACTGATTCTAATGATTGTTTTGACAGATATCAGTTATAAAATTGGCTTTAAAAGAGCTTAAAAATGCACAAAAAGAATCTACGTTTCAAGCCACACCGTCATTTGAAGACTTAGAAAAGAACAATGAAGAGGCCAGAAAATGTGCAAGTTCATATTATAGTAAAATATTCCAAAAAGATATATTGTATTTTAACGGAGGAAATAATTTCTATAAACCAATTATAGCAAGAATTAAAGAAGACAATTTTTTGATACCTAATAACTCAGTTTTTTTCTGCTCAGATATAAATAAACTAATAACAAGTCTTCCAGAAAATAGTAAATTTGATTTTATTCTAATGGACCCTCCTTGGTGGAACAAATATGTGAGAAGAAGAAAAAAGAATCAAGAAGCTGCCGGGTAAGAGAAAAAATTATTCATTAATGGCTAGGATTTTTAATTTAGTGTACAGTAGACTCCCTCTTATCCTGATACCTTTTAACCGGACATCGGTTTAACCGGACTACACTCGGTGAAAATTTTATCTCTTTAACCGGACAATTTTTATCAGCACATTGGTTTAACTAGACTAGATCGGCAGGAAGTGGGCAGTACTGAAACGATTGTTCTCGTGGGAAAGGTTTGAGACCAGTGATCACGTGTCTAAATACAATGCTCTCTCTAAATTTAAGTTGAATATCACAGTAAACAGTCCGTTTTAACGAGTTTTTGGGTACGTCGGTTTAACTGGAAAACCCGTTATCTGGACTGGCCTCGGTCCCGAGGAGTCCAGATGAGAGGGAGTGAACTGTATGCTGCTGAATTTTGTGAGCTCCAAAGGAAATGTTTTCACACATTAGTTCAGGCTAGTCTTAGAGGGTCGTGGCATTATCACGGATAAAATCCATTGGTGATTGGCAGGATTCGAACCCGGGGCCAAATCCCTAAACCCTACCACTTAACAAGCTTGCTCCCCATGCATGCATACAGTAAACACGAGATTACACAAGTGGATTAACCACCCGGCAGATTAAACATGATCACAAAAACATCAATTAAAATATATCATGTAAGTTTAATGTACATAATACACCAACAACCAAGATGTTTAGTATGAGGAGACCCATAATCTCGCTGGCAAACTTTAGAGTTGATGTTAACTTCGCCGACATTTGATGAATCACCGATTACAACCATTCAACCAATGAGTTAATGATTTGTATGTTTCAATTTTCGATACTAGACTACTAAGCTTTCACTTTATGCTTTTAATTGAAATGGTGACCTTACAAAGGTAGGTAGGTATTTTAAGCCAAGTATGAATGGAGATGAGGTGCTATGTACCTAGGCTCTTCAATATTTATTTATTTTTTTAAGAAGTGTGTGAAACAACGAGTTTTAAAGGTATTTGCAGTGAATTTGAAATGTCTTATTTTTACCTAAACCTGTTTAGTTAAGTTAAAGCTTAACTATAGATTAACAGTCAAAAGTTTGTTGTTTCCTTGGCATTTTTGTATAAGTTTACATTAACCCCGATCACTTAATGACTCGTTATCCCGGATAACCTAATATATTCACACATTTTTTGGTACTTTCCTGTTAAAGGGAACATTCATTATTATCGATGATTTTTTCTCGATATATCGATATTAACAAATTGAAACATATCAGCTGACAAATTACGATAAATAAACATTGTTCAGAACAAACAATAATTTTAAGAACAAACAATAATTTTAAAAAATATTGAAATGAAACTGTTCTAAACTAACCTAACAACCAAACTTGCTGTAACATTTAAAAGCTTTGTTTAATATTCTCCAATCGCCTTTTCTGTTATCAAACAGAATTTTTAAATGGTACAGCAAGTTTGGTTGGTTATGTTAGGTTAGCTTAGAACAGTTTCATTTCTTAATCCATATAATGGACTATATTTTAGCCTAAAGATCAGCTGTCAATTTGTAATGTCGTAAAGGAAAACAAAAATATCGATATATCGAGAAAAAATGATCGATCATAATGAATGTTCCCTTTAACAGGAAAGAACCCATTTTTTTATTGCCCTCAAGGACTCTAGGTACTATTTTAGAATCGTTTTTCACATTACTTCAGGCTAGATCTACATTATCACATAGATCAAATTTGTTGGTGATTTGGCGGGATTTGAACTAAGGACCAAAGTAATGACAGTAAGAATATCAAGGGGGTATTGATCAATGACATTGTTCTCAGATACAAGATGATGTACAATGACGAAGTGTGTGCGTTGCCTGTCGCACAGTGGCTACGGCCTGGAGCGCTAGTGGCTGTGTGGTGTACTAACTGTGAACGTCACATTCAGGATGTTGTGTCTCGATGGTTCCCCAAGTGGGGCTTACATCTTGTTGCTACGTGGTTTTGGCTCAAGGTGACGAATTAAGCAATTAGTATTTAATTGCTAACACATAATTTGTTAGTAAATTTATAAATTTAGAGAATCACAAAATATTTAGTTTGGGCTATAAATAGCTGGTGGGTACACAAATCAATCTTATGGCTATGGGTGCTACTAATACTTGATTTTTGAGATATTTTATAGAGAAGCCTGTAAAGAGTTTATGTATTCATTCCTTGCATAGGCCTATTTATTATTTTCACTGTGTTGTCTTACGAGCCGAAAGATATTTTTTTCTGACATGAACATGTTACATTTCGAAGTACAACAAAAGGTTTTACAAGAGTTAATTATTTTTACCCATTCCCAAATTCAAACCTTTTAAATCATGAGTAGAAATCTAAAATCCCCCAAAAAATTCATCAGGCCTATTATATCTTAAGCTGTAAAAATATTTACGCCACACTACACTGTTTTAACGAAGTTCCCACGCAAGCATTTAGTCCAGAAAACAGCTGTTTGCTGCTAGCTTAATCAAATAGAGTTTTTACTGGACACCAACCAGCTGAGTATATTTGGCAATGAGTGGTTACAATCAAAAACATAACCTCTTCTATTGTTAATTTGGCTTTATGGCGTAAAATATCATACGTTACTCGTCCAAAATGTGTTTACCGGACTCGTACGGTAATTCCGCACTCGACTTCGTCCTGCATGGGAACGACTACACTCGTCCGGTAAACACCTATTTTCAGGACTATGAACGTAATATACTATTTCCTTAATGGTTAAACATTTAATACTAAGGCAACATGCAGCGTCATTACCATATCAAACATCAAGAGTGAATCTTGAACTTTAAAATGGTGTAATTTTAGTATTCCAAATCAAATTAACAGCACCTTGTTAATCCTAACCTACAAAAGACCATTTTGAGTGAGCTCCTCTTTAGATAGTTGATGTAAACACTTTTAAGTACCGTATATGGTAGTAGAGTGTTATTAGCTTTGACTAGCTATAGAACTAGATATTTCCATGCCCATGTTAAAGTTGTTGCTAGTTTTCAAATCAAAATCACTGATAGATTACCTCTTAAGCAATTCAAACTGATTGTTAGCTATAACGTCTTGTACGTTTTTTCAACTATAAGGTAAGATAATCTGAAGGGTTTTCAAAATCGGAGTTTAGAGTATCTTTTCTAAATTGGGGGTTTCTGTGACCTGCTATAAGTTGGAATCAATGGTAGTATATTTGCAGGATTGGACAGTGTAGACCTAATTTAGTCTAACATCTTGTATGTGTTCCCGAAGGTGACACGCAGTGGTGAGCCAGTGTGTCAGTTTTCTCCGCCACCCGGCAAACAGCCTTACGAGAGGATTTTGTTTGGCTCTGTGGCAGGTCGAACTGTCCCACAACCCTTGGATAATCAGTGTATTGTCAGTGTCCCAAGCTCCATACACTCTCACAAGCCACCACTTGTTGGTAAGTGCTTGGTATTATACTTAGGGAATATAGCAGCTAGCTTACCTCAGAAAAATGTTAGATAGGCCAACAGATTGAAGACGCAAAACACACATTTGGTCTCCTAAGGGACTGTCAAATGTAGACAAAGAGAATTGTTTACACAATGGTTTATGGTAGCTGTATTCACCTGCTGTAAATATTTGTTCTAAAAATCAAAATTCCGGCCTAGAACCTTTCCTTTAACGAAACTAATATTACTTAGTACTTTTACATGTAGAATTGTAATCTTCTGGCGACGACCTTGTCAAAACAACTTGACAATAAGTGACTGACCGTGTAAGCTTACTCAAAGAAGATTACTGTTACATAGTGTAGAAGACATAACTTCTGATTCATCTGTTGATACAATTAGGCCCACTGTATTATGCGTGTTTATTTTTCATTATCATTAAAATGTATAGGCCTACAGATGGTTGATTAATCCCAGTGCGTTTAGAACAGTACGTTAATCGTTTTGTTTCGTACAAAAACAATGAACAAAAAAGTTCAGCAGAAATTACGGACTATTTTTAGGCGCAGTAATCTTCTAGAAAATTTAATTACATTACTATGATTTATTGTTATCAGAGATCTATTGTTTATTGTTGTTCAGATAACATTAGCTATGTTATCTGAATTCTTTATTTTTTGTTTGTCCATGACCACTTTTTCCTATTAATACATTTCTATTAGTTTGACATTGTAGCCTATTTAGCCCTAATATAATATCAAAAGAGGCTTAAACACTGCTTTTGACTACATTTATTGATAAACCTTATTATTGGGTTTAAATTATCGTTTTTGTTATAGGTTTGTTTAGTCAGCCAAATTGTTATCCCTCAAGAGGCTCACTACTTTCTTGGCTTGATATAAGGGGCTCTATTGAAGTCGGTTTACTTTTGTTGATAACCTGTCAAAAAAGAGCAACTAGGCACATACCTCAATCACTTTTCTCTGCATTTAAAGTCCATGTTGAAAATAAGACCCTATGTTTGTTTTACCATTCTGTCTTTTTTGTCTGTCAGAAGTGATCAAGCCTTTTCTCCCGGCTGAGCCAAAGTGCCTGGAGCTGTTTGCGAGGTATTTATTGCCGGATTGGACCAGTGCCGGGGACCAGGTGCTGTCACTGCAGAACATCAAACTTTATACTGATGTAGAACATGATGATCTATAGTCCAAGCAACATTCACAATGTGGAACAAAGTCAGCACAGGCAGTCCTCACCATGTAGTCCTAGTTTGGGCAATATTGCACAATCACAACTAATAACTTCTTGATCAGCATCGTACTTGTTATTAAATTTACGAAAAGTAAATAAAGAAACGTCTTATAACAATTAAAACATATATTTACGCTTATACTGTTACTCACAAGACGGTAAATATACAAAAAGGTGGTAAGTGGTGATCAATTTTGATTGGACACTCCAATCATCATCAGAGGGTCTCGATAATTCGCCTATTGGGTCTGATGATGATTGGAGTGTCCAATCGATCACCACTTACCACCTTTTTTCTATATTTACCGTCTTGTGAGTAACAGTATAAGCGTAAATATATGTTTTAAGTGTTTAAGACGTTTCTTTATTTACTTTTCGCATAGACAATCTTTTGCAACATTATCTATTCATTCATAGGCTACGCTCAACTGAACTCTTACCTAGGCAAAAAATTTTACAATAAACTACCCAGTATGAACAGGTACGTTCATAAAATATATATTAGGTCTTAATTTAAAATGTATTCAGGAAATTAGGAAATTAATTTATTCAAGACCAAGGTGGAACATTTTTTTTATCAGCAAAGCCAATTGCAGCATAGATGGTTGTATGTCTGATAGAATTTGTTAGTATTTAGTTTTACAAATTTTAATTGTTTAAAATGAATGTTTTAAGCGTTTTTTTTTCCATAGGCAAGTAGCTATTACTGTAGGTAGAACGGTAAGACTTAGGCCCGGTACCAATTTACTTTTTCATTTTGATGTCCGCATAGAGGCCAAAAACACCATTTGTTCAAATTTTAGAGTTATGAGTGAAAATTTAAAAACGTACATTTTCAGGAAAAGCAGTTTGCAAATTTTTTTCTCCTTTTTTCAAAACTTTTATTATTTTTTTTATTTCATTTACATTTGAAGTTTCATAAAATGTCCATGGTAACGCAATATCTTTGGTAGTTTCTTTTTAAAAGAGCATCTTTAGTGGAAAAACACAAAATCCTGTCACGACCATAACGGACGTTTAAATGAATATTAAAAATAGTTAATATTATTTTTATTACTATGTTTTGCTATAAACTAATTTACTTTTATGACCATTATACAATAAAAAGGTCACTGAGCTTTTGGTATATTTGGTCTTTCTAGAAAAGAAAAAAAAAACTCAAAAAATTGAAAAAAAACCAATAAAATCTTTTTAAGTTTGTATAAGTCCAAAAAAACTTACCTGAGATCCGAAAAATCGTTATGTTTGTATAGAGGTGTGCTTCTTTTGTGTATAAAACATTGAAATATGACGATATTTTAATTTTTGAAATTTTTATGATAGAAATCATAAACGTGATGGTCAGGGACAAGCTGTACGGTCGTGAATTGTCTGGAATAATCTATTTCTTTCCAAACAATCCTTCAATTATTCTGTTAGTTATAATAAAAATATGTGTTTCAATTGAACTAAACTGTTCAATTTACAATTATATTAAATTTATTGTCACGACCAAACACACTATAATCCATAAGGCTGGATTGGTCGTGAATAAACCCGCGATGGTCGTGAAACTTTGGTCGTGAAATTACGTTTTATTTGGCTCTGTTCTGGCGGTAGCCCTGCACCTCATGTTCGAGGATACAAAGTGGACTTCTAGGTTAATCTAGCAATTGAAATATCTTATAAACAAAAATTAACACCATGTCTACTTCATCGAATGACTACGTACGGTCATGGACACACCAAAATTACAAAAAACACAATCTTTCCTTTATTAATCTTGTAATTCCTCCTTTCAACTCGAAACGACCGGCACTACAATCCTGACGTACACCCCAAACTAGTCTCTAAAACCAACTGACTCCATCGACGCCAGGCTTGCCACTGTTGTGCTCCAAATTTGAAAATTTTTCCCAAATGGTCGTGACACCAAATCGAGGGACAGACTTATTTTGTCATGGTAGTCAGTTTGTAATGACAATAAAATTATAATATGCTTCTTTTTTGTAAGTTTAATAACCATTGATGACATAAAAATATGGCTTTATATATTTTGGCATGAATAATTACTCTAAAAACAGCGTGAAAGTTGGAAAATGTACCCTAGGGACACGTCATGGTCGTGAATTTTGAGACTTTAAAAATACGAAAAAAATACCTAGAACCTATTTAAAACCAAATAAATGTGTGTAACATGTTGCCCCCGTCCCAAAAAATATTAAAACACATAATAATAAACTACAATTCCAGTATCTACGAAGTAAAAGGCCAGGGACATGAAAACGTACGTTTTTAAATTTTCACTCTTATATATGTGTCTGTGAACACGATAACTCGAGTAATTTTTGGCCGATTTTGATGAAATTTGGTTTAAATGTGTAAGGCGTGGGATAAACTTGAATAAGTTCACAAACCAGCATGATCGGACCATGGGAACGAGGTTTCACGGGGGGTTTTATGGGTTGAAAATTGTTTTTTTTTTTTGCCCTCAAAGCACAACATTTCTCTCTAGATCCTTTTTAAGAGCTTAAAAAACAAATAATTTGGTATATAAAAGTGTTGTTTTTTTTACAATTATTGGTAACAGAGAAAATTCAAAAAGTTTTAAATTTAAAATCCCATGTTATTCCTATGGAGAATATTGTAAAATGTTGTAGTTTGCCAGTTTATGAATATATTTTGATCAAACATTTTTTATTTTATTATAAGCTATTAATATTTTACTAAAAACCACACTAGCGAATTTCCTATATAGGGAATAAGCTATTACCGTAGGTCTCATGGTAAGACCTAGACCCAAGACCGCTTTACCCCAGAGGCCAAAAACACCATCCGTTTTAATTCATATATATATATGAGTCCGTTAGCGCGATAACTCAAGCAAAAATGATCCGATTTTGATGAAATTTGGTACATTCAAACGAGTTTCTCGAACCAGCATTACCGCCAATCGGACCATGGGAACGGGGGTTTATGGGGGATTTTATGGGATAAAAATGGGCTTTTCCCATTTTTTTTACCCTAAAAACAATAATTGTTGCAATTTATTTACAAACCATTTTGTAGAGCTTACAAAAAACAAATAATTTAGTACCTATATTGAAGCGCTGTTGTATGCCTAACGGAACGGAGAAAATTAAAAAAGTGTACCTATTTTAAAAACCCATGTTATTTTTAGGCAGAAAATGAAAACTGTTGTAGTTTACTTGTTTATGGGTATATGTTGATAAAATTTGGCACAAACAAAACATACTTTTTTACCCTCCCTGTTGCAGCTGTTGTTAGAGTACTCGTTAAACTAATGCTATTTAGATAGGGAATAATTGTGATATTTTTAAGGAGACATTTGAGTGTAAATCCAATTAGGCAAATGGAAATTCGCTTAGTCTGCAGGTTTGCTGCGGCGGGGGTGTTTATGAAATGTATTCTTCTTATGACGATAAAGTACTTGACTTGAGCCATGGTCTCCTCTAACACAAGGCTGCGGTGTTGGTAGGGGGGCAACATCATGGGTCTGACTTACGGGAGGTATAAATGAGGCAACAATGACATCATAGTTTAGTTCAAAATTCCTCCGTGAACAGCGCTTTAGTAAAGAGCACAGCGCGTTATTTTTATTTCACTATTTTTTTTGCCAACAGTGTCATTTTGAGGCTTCTGATCCATGATGTCATACCTTAATTATAAAATTAATCTTATAATTTTTAAATTATAAAATTAAATTGTCATAACCTAACCAAACTAGCTGATGATGAAAAAATCAAATGAAGGTTTACTTATTAAAAAAATAGTTCTGTTCATAAAATTAAATTATAAGTGTCTCAAATTTTAACAAAAGATGTACTACAGTTAAGAAGTAATGGCATTCTAAACTAAATCGTTGACTAAAAGTTAATCGGTGGGAAACAAACCGGCTATCTTCAGTTCATCAGCCAGGAACGCTTCCACTACACCACCGAGGCCGATGGCTCTATCCTGTATCGTTGTGGTTGCGGTAATGGTGTTCCCTCAAGAGAAGTCATCTGACAGTTGATGTCATCGAAGGCTCTTCTATACATCCTTTGAGTACCACCCAACATCATGCCTATTGCCATGGCAATAACAAAAGTGTAAATATAAACATTTCCTTTTATAATGCAACAGCTGTTTCAGTTTGATGGGACAGTGGTGTTGCCACTTTCGTCTCCCCGCAGCCTTGTATTAGAAGAGGCTATGCTTGAAATCACCTGGGAGAGAATGTGAACTTCCAGAATAATTGTTCTCCTTATTAAAGCAAATACGTTGTATTCCAAATAATAAAAGAATATTATCATTTATGAACTTCATCAACCCCCTAAAATGCATATCAGATGTACAAAAGTTTAGGATGTAAATAGTATAAATACAAGTCATAAACTGTAATCATTGTAAATAAATATGTATGTTTTACACATTTTCAGAAAATTTATTTTTTTACCTAACAACTTATTAGGTATTGGTGAAGCTAAAGCCGGCTCCAGACATGCTCCATTTGCAAAGCACGAAATATTTTATGTTCGGCGATCTAGTTGTCTTCCTATTCGTCGATTCACGAGTAGAAGTCTACACACGTGTTGTTTTCCGAGCAACTGTTCGTTTCAGGAATAGCAAAAATATTCGTTCACTTTGATGTGTGCAAAAATACTGACAATGAACGGCAAAACACCAGCATGAATGTTTGCTGCTCCAAATAGACAAATACCTATCCACACTACTCGCAATTCGCTGTTCTGTGCTTGGGGAATGGCGCATATCTAGAGCCGCCTTAAAGATTCAAATTAATGTTCAATGTTTTGGCTTATTCTGTAGATATTTATATTTCTCTATGTGAAACTTTGATGATTGTTGGGAGTATTGAATAATAAGCTACTTTTTCCAAACTTTCCCAATTGATCTCTTTTTTTAATTATCAATCAACCGCCGTTGATTCAACTGTACGGTAAAATGATTAAATGTGCTTCCTACTACATTAAACTCTAGCACAGAGAAGTAAGGAACAGAAGATACATTTAATGGTACACTTAAGTGGTGTCTAACACTAGTGCTGTGTCTAGGGCAACGTCCCGCACTGCCCCCCTAGTCTTCATGTACTACAACACTCATAGTGGAGGAAGACCATGTGGGATAGGAATTTCCGCACAGTGTTTGCCGTTCGGGCTCTTCCTTGCTGACATTTATATTTTCACAAGTATATTTTTGCCCCAAAACACCAGAGCCAAAAGTGTGTTTGTCCCATAATCGTGTTTCCTCGGTACCTTACTTCTCTGTAGCTTATAGACCATTATGGTCTATCCTAGACCATTATGGTCTATTGTCTGTGCTCCAGCCTATTCAGCAATAATGAAAAGTATCTAAGGTGTGTTTGCTACAGTTTCGGGGATTTGTGATTTGATTTTGGTTTTAATGAATATGGTCTGCCTCAAGGATACTTAACAGTTGTATAAATTGTTCAGTTAGTATTTTCATTGTACATAATCATGTTTTATGTTGTATTTCAATAGCTGACTTGGTAACCCATTCTTATGCAACTTCCAACAACCTGTTCTTAATCTTATGCAACTTATGGTAACTTTCTTATGAATAAAATAAATTTTGTAAATCAATTATATGGACAGATGAGTCAGTTACTCAAAAAGTTTTATTTTATAAGAATGTAAAAATTATCGTTGAATTACAAAACGTAATCTTAACAAAAAAGGTTTTGCATAACATCCTGAAAAATTGCCTATTACAGTATTTCAATTCTCAAACAGTTTTTACAGTAGATCTTACGTTTCTTACGTTTGAGCATAACATAAACAAGAATTTTGTTTATATGAATTAGGCAATAAATCTATACAAAGGCAAAGATAACCATAAAAAACAGGAAACTTGAACAAATTAGAATTAGTTAGAAATAATTAAAAAATTAAGATAACAATTTGTTTAAACATTAAAACTATCTTTTGATGGTTAGTTAGAAGCTATTATAATTAATTGTTGACAATCAGATCCTGATGAACTTCACTCAGTCGCTTTCTGTAGGATCACATTCAGTGCAGTGCCAAGAATATCCTCGACCCTTAGGAGACTTCTTAACCGGTGGATTAAGGCAAAGGAAATGATAACTTTTCATACAATCGTCGCAGGTGACAATGTTGGCTTTTGTACCCATCTGCTGGCAGTTATTGCACATTATTTGTAGTTCAGTCTTTACTTTTGCTTTCGACAGTCCAGGGAGGGTAACAGAATTCGAGTTTGAATCTACTTCTACTTCAGTCTCCTTTATCATTGTTTCTGACGATGAAACATCAACAACTTTATGTGATGTGTTAAGAGTTGCAATCAAATTATTTGTTGTCACACGTTGCCTCTTAACCTTCTGAAGGTTTGAGTTTCGTGAAGAATTGAAGCTATGACTCCTTTTCCTTTTTTTACCATTCTTCTTACGTGGTGCTTTCTTTGCAGAATCCAACATTTGCTTTTCAGGAATTTTCTTTGTATCTTTCATTATAGCAGCTTTACAAGCTTTGAAATAAGATGACTCCAAAACCTTCAAGTGTCTCATTTTTCTTCTAGCATCCATATCAACCTCATCTGGGTCAGAATCACTCGAGCTCTTGTCACATTCTGAACATTGCCAACCCATCACTTTGGTTTTCTTGGGCATTCTTGCCAGTGGAGGGTTGAGACAGTTCAAGTGGTAATACAACAGACAAGCGTCACACTTGATTAACAGATGTTGATCTGTGGATAACTTGCAAACACAGCACAGAAGGCTCAGACTCTTGGGAACAAAACCAGTCCCTTCATTTGTTACACTGTTCATTGTTTGTTCCTGAAGGCTGAAGGCATCCCTTGCAGAATTCAGGGAGGAACAGTTAGGAGAGTTTCTTATACAGTTGTAACAATCGGGTAAAATCTTGCTTCGTTCAAACTTTGAAAAAATGTCATTATGAATCTTCATGATTGACTTTAATTTTTGGCCATTAATAACCGCTGCTTGGTGACGTTCAACAGTGGTATTGAACAACTTCTGTAGCTCTTGTTGTTCTTTCAACAACTTAGCATTTTCCTCAATCTGTACATTCAAATTTTGTTTCATAGAAATGATGCGACTATTTCGGTCCAAGTAGTAGCCCACAAATTCAAAATCAAAAGCAGGAGCAACATGCCATTTACGGTGTATGTCTGCTAAAGCCTTTGCTAGAGCCTCTTTCAAAGCCCAGGCCTGTGTGTCGATTCCACTTAGTGTTGCCTTGCGGTTCAGTGCTTCAAGGGTGCTTGCACTAGAAATCAGTGGACGAGACATCTTATGTGGTTTAACCCAAGGTTGATGTTTATAAATCGTAGATTTTTCAATATATTTTCGTTGATGTTTTTGCAATTCTGTCTTTACCCAGGTAGATTTAGACAAGTTACTAGGATCAGATTCTTCAGAAGGTAGCAGCTTCTTATGATTTTTTATTTTTGACTCGTAAGCTAGCCAATTACGTTTGCGGACCTTTGAAATACTTTTGTCTGAATGCAGCTTGCAATGAGCATAGAACGGGTCGGCATGATTTATTTCCTCTGACTTAGCTTCAGAGAGAAGACCTTCCTTCTGAGCACATGTGGCGTGAAAGAATGTTCGACACAAACCAGCATCACATTCGATACACACTCCAGTTTGACTCAACTGTTGATCAGGGCAGAGGGAACAAACTCGTTCTCCCCATTTCTTGTAAGACATATCAAACAGTGTCACTCCTCTCAAATTGGTCACCTCTCTAAATGCCACCCCAGGCATGTACAACGCACAAACTAAATGAACCCACAATCCCGTATCAGTCTCTTTGAAAATACCTCCAGGATTGGGACAAAGTTCGCACGTGGGATTTTCTTTTCCGGCTTGACAAGCATCACAGAACCAGGATGCTTTAGATTTTCCACTTCCGCTGCTAGAAACACTATCAGTATCCGAAATTCCACAGCAATCTTCGTGTACAGTGACTCCACAACTATCACATTCGACAATCTCATTATAGTCACTAGTTTCATCTCCAAGACAAACACCGCAGATTACAATCTTAGACAGATCAATTTTTATGTTATAATCTGTTTTTTGAGTACTGAGTGGTGTTGCTTGAAGATTTTCTTTTTCACTTGCAGTATTTTCATTATCACTTTTAGAATCTTCGTCAGAATTAATTTCTGATTCAAAGTCTGTTGTAATGTCATTTTCTGAGTAGTCTTCTGCCCTGAAGTCACTGTCGCTCTCATCAGAGTTTTCATCAGACTGCACCAAAACACATAGAGGTATGGACCTTTTCCTTCTCTCCATAACAAATCCTGAAATCAATAACAACAAGCATAATATTATGTGTTACAATTATTTGGTCATTTTATATTTGTTTCCAACTGAGTCAAAGTTGTAAAGGGCGACAAAATAAAGACCGGACATTTTTAAAATAAACATAATTCACATATTTTTGTGTCAATTCACTCTTATTACATTTAAAGTATTTGTAAACTCTTACCATTTAAGAAATAAACCACTTACTAAAAAGAGTGGATTAGGCCTACCCTTTTTACATGTTCATTACTTATAGAAAACAATAACTGTGTGATTTTACACACTCTTTACGGCGGAGAAGCCTGCTTTTTTTCTGAGAAACCTAAGTAGTTTCTGAATCAAAGCAAAGCAAGCAGAACCAAAACTTTTGTTATTCTTGAGTTTTACCGTGCTGCTTAGGGTTGTTTTGAGTTGTCTTAACTTGTTCATTGCATTTTAAAATTTTATAAAAATTACACATAAATGAGCAGGAAATAAAAATTATCTCTAGACATTCTAGTGAAATTTTTAAATAAAGCACTGTCAAAATATTAAACGTTCCCTGCAGTCACAGAAAACATTATCATCGTACGATCAATAAATGTCAGTTAATAAACTTTGACATTTAATATGCTCCTCAGAAAATCCGACCTTGATCCTGGTTCCGTAGGGTCCCGGTCCGTATTGTAGTACTTTCAATGATACTTTCTATAATCTGGCCACAAGAAGTAGCCTACTATGTAGCTGGTGATGGCTTAATAATACAGTCACCTGTATATGTATATAATGACTGAAAATGCTACATCCACCCACTACTCTTGTGCCATAAAAATATTGGATTAAATTCCTGGCTGACAAACCAGGGTGCGTATTTTAAGGTGAAGTTCAGAGAAGGATGGGTGTTGAGTGGATATATACAAGGTGTCCGAAGAAGAATGCCGGGATTTTAAACGGTCATCGCTTGGTGACTATTCAAGATAACTAAATAATTTATATGACTAAACAGTTGAAATATCAAGTTTCATATTCCGTATGGCAAGGGAGGAAACGATTACCTTAGCATGCCAAAATTTAACCAAACTAGCAAAACCAAATTTAACTCCCATAAGAAATACATGGGGAGCAAATTTCATTTACGTATACGCCAAGTGGGATTATAGGTAAATATATGCCGATGCTTGATGGCAAATCTGTGCGTGCATAGGTACCTTTTTGAAGACCTCCATCATGAAAATCGTCCGGGTAGAAGAGCCAAACGAACTTGAAAAATAGAAACCAAATTTAACTCCCATAAGAAATACATGGGGAGCAAATTTTTTTACGTATACCGTACACCGAGTGGAATTATAGATAAATATATGCTGATGCTTGATGGCAAATCTGTGCGTGCATACAATATGATTTGAGACCTCAATCATGAACATCGGTCGGGTAGAAGAGCCAAACAAACTCGGAAAAGAGAAATTAAATTTAACTTCCATAAGAAATACATGGGGAGCAAATTTTGTTTATGTATACACCGAGGGGGATTATAGATAAATATATGCCGATTCTTGATGGCAAATCTGTGCTTGCATACCTTCAATTTGAGATCTCAATTATGAAAATCGGTTGGGTTGAAGAGCCAAAGGAACTCCGAAAAGAGAAACCAAATTGAACTCCCATAAAAAATACATGGGGAGCAAATTTCGTATTTTATATTTTAATATATAAGATTATCAGAAGATATTGGAGCTCATAAAAAATCTAATGATCATCTGTAATGTGAGGGGTAGAAGAGGGGAGAGGAGGAGGCCGACAAGGCGACGGCCAATCTAGACCTACACCCTGAATTTGCAGCCGCGCCCGTGATCATTAGTTGTATGGCCATACAGTACAGTACGGTATTGTTTATTCGTAAAAATTTGTGTTCGTTTTTAGTGTACCAAATTTATGCTTTAAAGACTTTTTGACGACCTCCTAGGAGCGAAAACACATCTTAGGCTTGACAATGACACCTTGAGTTTAGAAACCGGTCCCCATCCAGATGCGCAGGATTATGCTGGCAACAAAAGGTACGGTATTTAAAATTTCTACAAAAGTAATTTTTAAGTAATCAAGAAGGCCAACACTTAATGAATACAATTCAACTCTTATCTTTTTAAGCGGGATTTTACTTTGGATTTTCAAAACAATAAGTTAAATATTATTTTTTACACTAAGGTTAAAAATTGTTGATATCATCCTTAATCTTTGGGGAGTCATAGCGACACCTTCTCCGCCATAACTCCCCCAATAGGATGGTTTCAAACCATGAAATATTGACTGACTTTTCTCATGATTGAGCCGATAATCAATTAAGAACCAACTTTAGGCCTACTACAATTTCATGCCAATTTAAATTTTAAATAGGTATTAGGCCTACAATTTTAACTTTCTAAATAGGTACAATTAAATAGCCTTAATGAAATTTGTCATATAAGTTAAGGAACTTTTTGGTGGTGAGTAGCCTAAGTTAAATGGAATCATAAAAAAAACAGTAATAGCTTAGAGGTAATTAAGGAACGAGTTTCTAATGTTCGGTAGGTCCTATCTTTTAGAAATAATAAAGGTAAAAAAACAAGCCTCTAGTAACTAAATGGTGTTATTTAGGGCCTACTTATTTAGAAGTTTATTAGGGTACTATTTATAGTAAAACTTAAGTTAAACAAATGTAGTGGTGGTCTAGGCTAGTTAATGTTTTTTAGTCTTTGGATTTTCAATTACCAGTCAATCTTAATGATTGATAATAATAATAATTTATTCAAACATAAATACCTCTGTCGCAGCAAACCTGCAGACTAGGCGAATTTACATCTACCCGGCTTGATTTCTACTAAAATATTCCCTAAAAATTGTCAGATTTATTTCCTATTTAAATAGCCTAACATTAATTTTAGTGAGAAGTTAGGTTTGCTAACAAGGAAGATATTGAGGTGTTTTCTTTATTGAAATATTGATAGCTTAAGTTTACTTAGTATGAAATAAACAAAATTGTCAAATTTGATTAAAATAAGTTATATCCATAAACAATCAAATTAGGTACCGGTACTGGTATGGTACTACAGTTTATTTATTCTCTTTAAGAATAACATGGGAATTTTAAATTTTACTTACATTTTTTTTTCTCCGTAATCAATGAACATTCCAAAACACTTCAATACCTAGGCCTAGACTAAATTATTTGTTTTAGCGAATTTCCCATATAGGGAATAAGCTATTACCGTAGTACTCATGGTAAGACCTGGACGCGGGACCGATTTTTTTTTCGTTTTGAGGTCCCTAGAGGCCAAAAACACCATCCGTTCAAATTCATATATATATATAGGGTCAACCGGGGCTAATATGAACAAAAAAAGTAAACTTTTGACATTAACTCAAAAATGGTAAATGACAGAAGAAAAGAAAAAATAGTAGTGTATACAGCTCTTTTAGCTGAATCTATTTATTTACTAACAAAAAACATAAATGTAACCATTATAAAAACAAAAATTAAAAACCACTGTTCACATTAGCCCCGCTAAAAGGGGCTAATGTGAACAGCCCATGGGGCTAATGTGAACACTCTTAATAACTCTGTTATTTACAACACTAGGCATATGTGGGGGCTGTTGTGAACAAGCCTAGGGTCTAGTCTACCAGTTGCAATAAGTCTCAATATTTTATCTTAAATAGTTTTTGAGATATGAAGGTATCTTTGGAGAGCCGCGGGTCGCCCTACGGTAACCCTTTTTTTTTAAACCATTTATAAATATTATACAGGGCTAATAATAAGATATAAACAAGAAAAAAATTATCTGTCAACATACCTGAGTATTTATTAAAAATTTCTTCCACATACAAATTGTTTTTTTTTAAAGCACTTAAAAAAACAATAATTTAAGACAATGCAAATTGTTCGTTTAGGCAAATGACAGTTTATTGCACTTTTAGGCCTATTAGGTAAATATAAAAATGTGGGCTAGGCCTATTCAACACCTTAACTGTGTTGTCTTTGTAAAATTAAAACTGTTTTATCACTGTAAGGCCTTCAAAGAAGTTTATTGAGGAACTTACGCCTCAAAAACTTCGACAATTTTGTCGAAGACATACTTATGTCTATCACTGGTTCCACATACATTAGGGGCTGGAAGTTTCCCCAAAATGTCAGTGGTAGAAACAATAAATATATCATCTTCTTTTTTCAGGAATGATTTTTTTTCCTCATCACAGGATTTAAATCCCATCACTTCGGTATATGTATATATATATATATATATATGTATATATATATGTATATATTGTTGTTCACAATAGCCCCCATTCACTGTTCACATTAGCCCCCCAACTTTGAAAGCTTATAACTTTGGCTGTTATTAATTTATTTTAACTTTGGGAAAAGAAAAATAATCCCCAATTCTTATTTAACAAAATTCAGGCTTAAGATTATTCCTACAACCAATGTAAAAATTGTTATAACAAAAGTTTTCACTTTGCGCGGAAAAGTTTTTTGGGCGGAAAAAAAGTGTTTTAACAAAGTATTTTTTTAAAGTACCTAAAAGTCAAATTTGAAGTTTTCTCATTATGGACACAAAAAATACAATAAATTTCCTTTCTAATTATATTTTTTTCATGATTAAAAATCCCAGATAAATGACTTTTTAAGTCATTGTTCATATTAGCCCCAATATTTTGGTGTGTTCATATTAGCCCCGGTTGACCCTATATATATATATATATATATGTGTCCGTCAGCACGATAACTCGAGCAAAAATGATCCGATTTTGATGAAATTTGGTAAAAACGTGTAAACGTACGTTTATTCGAACGAGTTCGCGATCCAGCATGATCGGACCATGGGAACGGGGGTTTACGGGGGGTTTTATGGGGTAAAAATAGGTTTTTCCCATTTTTGACCCAAAAAACATAAAATTTAGCAATTTCTTTCCAAACCATTTTGTAGAGCTTAAAAAAACAAATAATTTAGTATTTTGAAGCGTTATTATGCGCCTAATGGTTACGGAGAAAATTCCAAAAAATTGTAAATTTAAAATTCCCATGTTATTCTTATGGAGAATAAGTAAACTGTTGTAGTTTGCTTGTTTGTGAACATATTTTGATCAAATTTGGAAAATGTTTTTATTTTTTACTAACTATTCACATTTTACAAAAAAAAACAGTTTTACCCTCCCTGATGCAGCAAACCTAAGTACTTGTTAAACTAATTCTATTTAAATCAAGAATAAATGTTATATTTTTAAGTAGACATTTCAGTGTAAATCCAATCAGTCAAATGGAAATTCGCTTAGTCTGCAGGTTTGCTGCGGCGGGGGTATTTTTTTTATCTCTTCAAAATGGTCAAGAGAGATATTATGAAATTTGGTGTTAGGGTAAAAAATGGGAAAATCAATTTTTATTCTATAAAACCCCCCATAAACCCCGTTCCAATAGTCCAATTATGCTGGTTAGCGAACTCGTTTGAATAACTTAAACGTAAGCCTAGGTTTACACGTTTGTACCAAATTTAATCCAAATCGGTTAATTTTTGCTTAAGTTATCATGCAAAGGGACATACACACACACATAAGTTAGGCCTATCTAAGGACTCCGCGCTCCCTTTTACCTAAATTTTATGTACTTTGTTCTAACTTAAATTTCTAAATTCTTTTGCTCTCAACCATAACTGTATAGTTTAGTAAGTCGATTAATCAATAAATCTCATTGTTTCCAAATGCGTGTATAATTTTAATAAGCTCACAAAGTTTCTCGGTCAACGCGAAGTTCTAAGTGTTGATAGGTTTTCGTGGTGGGAATCACCGAATGAAAATAACCAAATCAATCGGTTATTGATGCTGAATAGACTAATTCGGTTATTTTATCCTGGTTTGGTTAAATTGGTCATTACCGAGCGATTCGGTGATTTAGTTATTTAGTTTGTCACATCATCAGGAAACTAAAATTTATTCGGCGATTCGTTCGACTAAAAATCACCAATTGACGCTAAAAGACTAAATGCCATTCAGTTTCCCATAAGATAAAAATTAGTTGTGTTTTGTGACAGTGAATAATGACTAAAATTGATTTGGTGATTCATTCGACTTTGGTGATCCGATTGACGCAAAAAATAACTGATTGATTATTCGGTCATGGAAACCATTCGGTTATCCCATCACTAGGTTTTCGGCTAACGAGGCTACTGGTCTCATTTGAACGGATTGTGTTTTGGCCTCTAGGGCCCTCAAAATGAAAAAGTAAATCGTTCCCGGGCCTAACTTACCATGAGACCTACGTTAATAACTTAATACCTATAAGTTATGGGAAATTTGCTAAAAACAAAACTTTGAGGTTAGTCTTTGAATTGTTACAAGTAACTTATGAGCGCATTCTGGGAACATGTACCGGTGCCGCACCGGTGCAAAAAATGTGTCGTTCTGGGAGACCGGTGAGTTAACCTAGCAGACAGCTATTTCCTCTTTTTCCTCCCCCGGTGCAAGATTTATGCACCGAAGAAATTGTACGGTGCATAATACACCGGCGGCCTCTTGATTGGTCAGTTTCTTTTACAGCAGCTTGCAGCCACGGCAAGATGGCGGGTCCACTGAATAATGTTCATTAGTTTTATAGTTTATGTTGCGTACTTAATGAGTGAAAATTTGTTCAATGAGGGGGTTATAAGTACGTAATAAATAATAATTTTCAATTTTATTCCGTGAGGGCAAGTTTGTTTGTTTGATTTAAATATTAGGCTATAAAGCAAATAGTAACTTAGATGAATGTGTAAATTATAATCCGATGTGTACCATAAACCGGTGAACAACCGTTCTGGGATACCAAGACTCTTGTCCCGGGGCGGTACCGGTGAATAAGTCACCGGTTAATCTGCACCGGTGCACCGGTACATGTTCCCAGAATGCGCTCAATGACTCTTTGGCGTTCTGTTACATTTAATCATGATTCATACAATTCCCCTACATACCATATTTTGACAAGAATTGAGTAGGTCAAAGGCCACATTAATTTAGGTACTGTATAAGTTAGGCCTACTTGATTTTATAGAATAATAAAGGTAGACTAACTTAGGCCTAGGCCTATGTCAAACTAGGCTATTATCTAAAACATACCTACACTAAAAAAAGTTTGATCGTCAGTGGGTTGTTGTAAAATGTTGATGGGCTGAGTGTAGTCTGGTAGTGACAGACAAAAAACGCAAGACAAGAAATTACGAACTAATAATAACAATTTTAAACTCGCCACTTATAGGCTAAATAAATATTATTAATAATATTAAGTTAGGTACCTGTAAATATTTCAGATACTTTGTTGTACGTTGACTCTAGTTAAAATGCCACTGGCGCAGGGAAAAAATGCATACAGCCTACCTAGTTAAATCATTTACAAACTAAAACTTACCTTCAATATTACGAATAGGCTAAGTTTAGATCGTCATCTAAGTTAATCGACAAAACAAACTTGTAAGGGAAAGGGACAAACTTAAAACTGAAATTGAACTGAACTAATAGGCCTAAAAGGGAAAAGGTATTAACTTACGTTATTTTACAGTATTTTCGTTTGTTTCTCTGGTCTGAAAGTAAACATACAGGTAACTTAGGTATAAACAAATAGGCTTTAGAAATTACTGAAATTAGAAAAGGATTTGATTTGAATGTTTTTCTTCTTGTCGTAACAATTGCACCTTTCTCGTTCTGCTCTACAACGAGTGGCCGGCTTTGTTGAATGACTATGAAGCCAACTTCCACTGTCACCGTCGTTTTCCATCGTTTTTTTTTTTTTGCTGTTGCCTTGCCTGCCAAACCAAAACTTTCTTGCATTGTGTTATTTGTATTTCTTATATCACTGTTCCGAAATATGCCAACATTCAACATTTTTATGGTTTAATACTGTTGAAGTAACGATACGATACCGCATTTTCAAATTCTGCATTGGTAATGGCATAGATCAAATATATTCCCTTAGTAGATCCTGGAATGAAATGAAATGAAATGAAATGATTTATTGTCGTTAAAACTATGTACAAAGTTCATGACAATCGTCAAAATAAAAACAAAACAATCAAGATGGCTCTGGCAAACTAAAATATCTAAAACTCTAAACCAATTACTCTTCATGTTTATACAGGCAAGCCTGGGTTAGAGTAGTTTTTAAAACATGTTTGAATTTTAAAACACACAGGTTTTTGATGGATGCAGGCAAGAAATTGTACATTTTAACACCTTGGTACTCAAAACTATTTTGAGTGGCTGTATACTTATGCCTTAGTGTAGACAGATTATCTTTTGATCTAGTACAGTAGTTGTGCACATCAGATATCTTTTCAAAGTGAGAAATGTTTTCTTTTACATATAACAAACTTGCCAAAACATACAAAGATGGAAGTGTGAGAATGTTAAGACCCACAAAAAGGGGCTTACAATGTGTTCTTCTATTCACACTACAAATTAACCTCACCGCCTTCTTTTGTAAAGTAAAGAGCAACCTGTTAGCATAAAAACTGTTGGCCCACAGTGAGGTACCATAGGACAAATAGCTATGAATGTGGCCATAATATATACAAATAAGGACATCAACTGAAACAGTGGACCTAAGTGCTCTTATCATAAATATGCCTTTTACAATCTTAGAAGCTACAAAATCTACATGTGAAAACCACTTCAAGTTTGACTGCAAGTGAAAACCCAAAAACTTCAGAGTGTTTACATCATTACCATTACTGCTAAGACTAATAGTTAGGTCTTGAGTCTTATCAGCATTAAGACATAACTTGTTTGCATTACACCAGTCATTAATAACAGCAGATTTTGTATCAAATGTATCTGTAACGTCATTCAAAGAGTTACCCCGTACACACAAGGCCAAGTCATCAGCAAAAAGAAAGCTTTTTACAGATAAGTCATTAATATTACAAGGTAAGTCATTTATATACAGTATAAACAGGGTAGGGCCCAGTATAGAGCCTTGGGGCACTCCATGGGGCACTCGAACAGGGCTAGAATAAGTGCCGTTTAGATAGACTTTTTGCCATCTGTCACTGAGATAAGATTGAAAGAACTTAACCAAAACTGCATCAAGGTTATAGCAAGAAAGCTTATCCACAAGGAGATCATGAGCCACTGTGTCAAAGGCCTTAGACATGTCGTACGATCTAAACACTATGCCACTTTTGGCCTCTAAACTTTGAAAGCAATTTGATATCAGTGCCTGGGTTGCTTGGACAGTGCTGTGTTTGGGCCTAAAGCCAAACTGACTACTTGCTAAAAGGTTACTATCCTCAAGATACTGAGAAAATCTACGATGTACGAGATGTTCCAAGACCTTCGACACTGCAGGGATAATATATATAGGCCTATAGTTAGCAATAACATTTTTAGGCCCCTTTTTATGGACTGGTATAACCTTAGAAATCTTGAACTTGTTTGGGTAGCAACCTTGTGTTATACAGAGATTAAATAGGTATGTCAAAACTTCACTTATGTAACTAGAAGCTAACTTCAAGATGGGGACATTAATTCCGTAAATATCTAAACAAGAGCTATTGTTAAGACTGTTGATGGCTGCATACACCTCTTCTACAGTAAATAGTTCAAGCCTAAAAGCATCGTTGTCCTCAATAGTCGGAAGAACGTTGCAAGATGATGTCAAATTACTTAGATATTGCTCAGGACCATTAGAAGAGGCGGGAACATTACTTCTCAGGTTTTCAACACAGTCGACAAAGTAAGAGTTCAGTCCATCGGCAGTTAGGCAGTCAGGAATAGACAAAAAGGCTTACTGTTACAGTTGCTTAATTCATTAATGATTGACCAGGATGTTTTAGAAATATTACTTGAGTTTTGCAATAAACTGTTGTTATGGTCAAGTTTGGCTTTCTTGATTTCTTTGCGGTACTGCAACTTTAATGAGTTGTACTTAGTTTTAATTTCAGCAGTCCCTGCATTACAAAACAAAAAATATAGCCGGTCCAGCTCATTTTTCATTTTTACAAGTCCTTGATGATACCACCTTTTGTTAGGTTTGTTGTTAGAACCGACAGTTTTCAAAGGAATCGAACTATTTAAGGCCCACAACAGTTTGTCAAAAAACACTTTGAATTTAGCATTTAAGTCTAGGCTATGGTCATACAGTTCAAACCAATTCAACTGGCCAAGGTTAGATAAAAATGTTAAAGAATTCTGAGGATTTAATTTCCTAGTAACTTTTCTCGGTAAAGAAATTGGATTAGATTTAGAATATGACTCAATGTTCATTGACAGAAAGGCCGCATTATGATCTGAGACAGGAGTGTGTATAACTGAGGCTTCCCATCTATCTGGGTGTACTGAGGTCACAATATTGTCCAAGCAGGTACCTTTGTTTACACTTCCAGCTGCAACATTAGGCCTAGTGATTTCATTAATTGCAGTGTGAAGACCAAAACTAGATATTAGGTTTTTAAGTTCCCGGACTTCAATGCTGTCAGACAGGAAGTCTATGTTAAAATCACCTGTGCAAAAGAAGTCAAGTTTCACACCATGCATAGTTGAGAATACATCATGCAGTTTATCCAGAAATAAAAAAACATTACCTGAGGGTGGTCTGTAGAAGTTTACAATCACTGTTTTGTACTTAACGATGTACACCGCTGAGGCTTCAAACGTGAGTTCTTCCACTAATATACTCAAATTTAACTTATCGTAAATTATAAAGTCTAGGTTCTCTTTTACAAGTATAGCAGACCCACCATGTTTAGACATTGATCTAGCAAAAGAGGTTGCAACTAAGTAGCCTCTTAGGCTTAAGCTATTAATATCATTTTGCGAGACCCAGTGTTCAGTCAAACAAATCACATCCACACTACTGTCATACGCAAGCAAACGTAGGTAATCTAGTTTGTTGGTAATAGATTGAATATTCCACAGGAGGATGTTTAATTTTTTAGCTGACCTAGATAGTGTTTTATTAGATGACTGGGGCAAGCAAATGTTAGAGGAGTTCCCAATCGCTTTGTTATGCGAAGAGAGTTGTGTGTCAGAGTTATCTGACACTTCAGACTCTACGTTAAATCTACAGAGTCGGGGGGAGTTTCTAAAAAATTTTCCTGGCGCTTAACAGTGCTTGTTGCTTTTTTAGCAAACCTGAAGGCATTTATATATGCCCCAGTAGGCCAGAACTCAGGCAAATATATTTTGTCCCACAAGTGAGCAGGAACCCCTACCTTAAATGTTCGATAGCCTGGGAATCTGTTCCTCATTTGTGTGACTTTGTAATCACCACTAATTTCATCACTTATATATTTATTAACTGTGTCACAGTCAACGTCTGTAGCCAGCCTTGAGATAAATAAATACCTGTATTTGTTGACAGTTTTTAGTTTGTTGCTAGTATTGGCAGAACCTGTGATAGAATTTTCGTTATTAAAATGTTGTTTTCCAGAACTTTGTATTTGTTTGTACACCTTAAGACCATTAGTGTTAACTGCACTTGTACTTGTTGTAGTTGGTAGGCCAACATATCGTCCCGGTTCGTGATATACATCTGATTCTATCGTTATAATGTTAGCAAGTGTTATAGTATAATTGTAAATTAAATACATTCATTGGAAACCTACAACCCAAAGGGTCCGGTTGACCAGGAATCTGCGTACCTACGTAAATTTTCGTGACGGAAGAAAATCCAATACATTTTGTATATAATTGAAAAGTTAATTGTACTTCATTGGTATTTGCTGTCATCCTCAAAATAATGGCTAAGAGTCTAATTCGTTTCAGCAGATAAAATCAAGGGCGGTCCCAGGGGGGGGGGGTCATGACCCCCCCCCCAATTTTTTTTATATACATAAACTATTATACCAGGGGAACTTTAATAATTGTTATTGCAAATCGATCTACCAATTTGAAATTCATTGTAGTCTTTACTTGTGGCAAACGAAAGGACTAATTACAAACTCTAACCTAAAACTCGGGATCGTTCGAGTCTGACTATTTTTTGTACGTTATGTACGTTTTTGTACGTAGGAAAGATCCAAGGCTATTAAAAAGAAAAAGAGGTTGCCTCAGTCGCGCGTATGACGTCACCCGCCGACCCGACGGTGCTGCTTTTAATTCACACAGCTGTCACCTGTCAAGTACTTTGTTATTGTTGTTTGTTTTTCATTTATTTATTTGTAAACAGATCCGGGTCGGCGGGTGACGTCATACGCGCGACTGAGGCAACCTCTTTTTCTTTCTTTTTAATAGCCTTGGGAAAGATCGGCAGACGACGGACGCTTTCAGCATCACAGCAACGGCAGTGTCCGATGCTGACGTTCGACGTTCGGCCGCATTCTTCTTATTTAATTTTTCGGCATTTAATGTTATCATTCGTTTTAACCTAGATGATTGAAAACTTGAATTGGGTATTGGATAAAGAAAAGAAGTTGTATCAATAGTCAAAGCTTGAAAGGTAGTTGAATATTAATTTATCTGAGTTCAGCGTTAGGAATTTATAATTACAGTTGTAAGGTGTTAATTCCGAGGGGGGGTAAAACTACACCTTATATGCCTCGGATCTGCTAACAGTCAGGTGTGTCCAGGGTTCAAGTTATATTATTAATTGGCTGGGCTCAGACCAAAGGATGTTATCATTGATTCAGTAAATCATTGGTCATCATCATTGCCCAAATTAAAGCCAACTAATCCCCGATCGTGTTTTTAGTACCATTTATGTTAAGTTAAAAAGGATAATC